CCCTGGATTCTCTATCAGCCCAGAATTAAAACAATTTCCGAGGCCAGCTCTTCAGACAGGGGTTGGACTGGACTGTGGGACATAAAGTGATACTTGCGAAGAGTGTGCCTCTTAGCTCAAGTAGATGCAAGAGACTAAACGGACAGCTTCTGTCCGGAGGTGAGATGGGAAAGCAGAGAGGGTTAGGAGCTGGTTGAATGGACATGGGGAATCAGAGGTGGAAAGGAGGAGTGTGCTGTCATAGTATGGGGAGAACAATTAGGATCACATAACAATGTATGTATAAATTTTTGTATGGGAGACTGACTTGAAATGTAAACTTCATTTAAACTACAACAATAAGAAATAAAAAAAATCAAGATGTAATTCAGTCTCAGCATTGTGCCATAGTTTAATTGGCAGCATTTTTCTTTCTGACTACTTACTGTTGAGTTGATTCCAACTCATAGTGATCCCATCTGTGTCAGAGTATCAATGACTGATAATTTGGAAATAGATTGCCAGTCCTTTCTTCTGAGGCACGTCTGCGTGGAAATGAACCTCCAACCTTTCAGTTTCTTTCTTCTTGTTGTTAGGTGCCATTGAGTCGATTTCGGCTCATATAGACCTCATGTGACAGATCAGAATTGCCCCATAGGGTTTTATAGGCTGTAATCTTTATGGGATTAAATCACCAGTTCTTTCTCCCACAGAGCCACTGGGTGGGTTTGAACCATCAACCTTTGTGTTAGCAGCTGAGTGCTTAACTGTTGCTCCACCAGGACTCCTTAGTTTCGTTCTTAAACAAAAGAAAACCGTTGCCACCGAGTTGATTCCAACTCATAGCCACCCTGTAGGAGAGTAGAACTGCCCCATAGGGTTTCTAAGGAGCGGATGGTGAATTTGAACTGCTGACTTTTTGGTTAGCAGTTTCTTTCTTAGTGGTCCTAAAACAATGGTGCATCTTACAGTCAATGCCCTCTTAGATATGAATGATGAAATGCGGGGTAAGTGGCAGAGCTGGTGGCCAGTCCTGGGTAACAGATCCAGTGTGCTCAGTTCCATTCCTCACCCTTTTCCTTCTCTACTCTGTAGGGAAGGGGGTGTTGATCCCTGTACGCTACTTTACCAGGGTCCTTGGTTCCCTAGCTTCCAGCTGGATTCAGCCAATGAGGGGCAGCGATGGATGTAGCCCCCTTTTCACCTCCCTGTCCCCTCCTTGAGCATCATCTCGAGCAGTAGCGGGTCTCCCTCTGCATTATTAGGAGACCCCAGCCACCTCCCTTGACCTCTCTAGCCTAGGGTAGTGATAACTTCCTGCTGTTCTAATCTCAGTTCCTTCACCACCTCTGTTTAACTTTTCAGTTCTTCCATTCTCCATGCAACCAGTTCCCTGAATTAAATTCCCCTCTGCTTTAAATGGGGAGCTCTAGTGGCACAGTGGTTAAGAGCTACGGTGAGCTACGACTGCTTACCAAAAGGTCGGCAGTTCGAATCCACCAGCCGCTCCTTAGAAACCATATGGGGCAGTTCTTTGTCCTAGAGGGTCGCTATGAGTCGGAATCAACTCAATGGCAAGAGGTTTTTTGGTTTTCTGCTTTAAATACTTAGAGGGGTGGACTCTGCCTGACCCAGCTGGCATTCAAACCCAGGTCCGCACTTTTCATCACACCCCACAGCCTTGTGGGTCTCAGGTACCAAAAGGAGGAAGAGTGTATTAAGTAAATAAACATCCCAGAGGTTTCTCACCAGGAAGCCGCAGACTCTTTGAGAGGCAGTGGAATTATGGCAAAGGATACAGGAATCACCTGTGCACCAAGCATTGTCATACGTTAATTAAATAAATGTCTTCCAGACATAAGCACTACTATTTTCTCGTGGAAGTCACAGTATTGTTCCAACGAAAATCTGAAAGTTGAATGGGATTGGCTGGAGCTGTGTCCATCGCTAAATCAATCACTATACCTGATTTGTAACTGACAAGCCTTGAGTTATACATCTACCTCTGGAGCTGGATTTGGAGTCATCTCTGCATAAACACGGACTGAGAGTGGGAACAGGGAAAGGGAAAATTAGGCATTGTTACCAGAAGATGGAATGATGCTGAGGTATGAAAAGCAACAGACGGCCACTATAAACTAAAAACCAAACCCACTCGGTCGAGTCGGTTCCGACTCATAGCGTCCCTTAGGACACAATGGAACGGCCCCATAGGGTTTCCAAGGCTGTCAGTCTTTACCAAGCAGACGGCCACATCTTTCTCCCTCAGAGCGGCTGGCGGGCTAGAACCACCAACCTTTCGGTTAGCAGCCAAGCGCTTTAACCGCTGTACCACCAGGGCTCCTACTGAAATGTAAAACGTCCCCAAATGAAGAGTACCAACTGTGACATGTCAGGATCGGTTACCTATGTGGACAATTATCAACCTAATCTGGCTTGTTTCAGAGTGATACGATAAAATGATGCTTAATCACCACAACACAAGAGCTCCTTATGTCCACTACAGGTACCTCATATCACATACGCCAAAAAGTATTAAATGATCTAGTCCCCTTAATACCTCAGTGGGTGGAGAGGTGAGGCTGACTTCGTTATTAACAGAATCCCATTTTACCTGAAGTAGCAATATGTCCTGTTAAAGATGCTTGATCTCCCAGCTTCCCTTGCAGCAACAGTGGCTATGTGACACAGTTCTGGCCAGTGAGATATAGGAAGAAGTCCCCAAGGAAGGCATCCCTCCTGTAGGGAAACATCGTGAAAGACTTTGAACTGAGCAAAAAACAATACTGTGGGTCCTGTTAGCATACCTTTCAGACACTTGTCTGTCTTTCATTGTCTTTGAGCTAAGTTACAGTTTTGTAAAGTGCAGAGAACTGATAGTAATGCAGATAACTCTTGCACACAGAAAGGCAAATGAACTGTGTCTGGTGGAGGTGCAAATGATTATTTCCTGTTGAGACTAGCCAGTTTTCCATCTATTTGTAAACTCATTTCAGCATTCCTGATTGCCCATATATGTATGCATGATTGCCTATTCGTGTGTTTTTTGGATTCTCCTTTGAACCAGTATTAACATGGTACTGGTTCCCTTATAAGGAGCCCTGGTGGCGCAGTGGTTAAATGCCTGGCTGC